TGATGTTATGTTCGAACAATTTAATCAAACACAAGCAAAGCACACAAAGCCTTAGGTACAGGCTTGCATGGAGTTTGTAGGCAAATACCCTCTTGAAGTTCAGTTGGATCAACCTGTCCTAAAGAAGTAACTGGGTTCTAGGGATCTCAATATCACTGATTTTTCCCATAAGCTTCGTCTAACACGACAACTGACTCTCCACCAAACAAAACTCGAGAGTCAAATCTCAATGAGTGTTGTATTTATCCTCAACCGGAGGATATTTCTCATCAAAGTAATCTTCATCTTCAGAAGATTTATTATTGGCACCACCAACACGGGTTCTCTTTGCCTCTTCATCTTGATTTTCTTCCTCCTTAGACGACTCTTCAATTATATGTACCTGACGAACCAGATCTTTGAATATCTTACCCATGTTGATGAATGCCTTCTTTTTGGTTTTCTTCTTGGCTACTAGCATAGTCATCAGCTTTTGTTTCCCCTTGGCCAGGGTCAGCAAGTTCTCTTGGAACTGGGAATTCTGCGCTTGCAATTCCTTCACCGTTTGTTCGATATCCATATTACTGAAATAAACAGTAGAAAGAGAAGGAAACTTGTTGTGGAAAACCTGTTTATGTTATGATGCATGAAAGTGCGTATGCAAATGATTTCAAGGACCTTTAAAATTTAAATTTGCTTAAACAAAGAGGGAACACACATTAATTGCATTAATAAGTTCAAACGATTACAAAAATGACCCTTGGGCTTACAATGGAAAAAACAAAGATAATACAAAATAAACTCCTAAAATAAAAAGAATCAAGCTTCCCACGAGCGCATCCTCTTCTGTGCAATGTAGGAATTCAAAATCTGTTCTTCATGGAGTTGTCTCATGAGCTCTAGAAACTTCTTCTCGCTTGCGTAGAACTGGGTTTCGAAGGCATCTCGCTCCCCTTTGAGTTGAATCCAAGATCTTTGCAACTCCTCGAGAGTAGTCGGCATGTCAAGATGGAGAATAGTGTAAGGAACATCTCCCTCGGTAATAGGCTCCATGATGATAGGTAGAATGGCCTCATAAGGCATCATGAGATTTTGAGTGTGAGCTCATACCCACTTGAGATAAGGCTCCAAAGGAATGGAGTTCTTATTTCCCAATATCTTGCTATCAACTTTGTTCACCATGCCCCAAGCTCGTATGAATCTCTGACGATAACCTTGGACATTGTTCTCATAGTTAAATGCAATTCCTTGGACAAGTGCATCATGAGGACCATCCCTCCTAGCATACCTAAACTATCACAACACCAAACAAGGATTGTAGGTAATACCTCCCCTAATTACAAGTAGATGGACATTAGGGAATTCCCCACAACAATCGATAATACTAATAACCTCAAAGGATCGAGAACACCAATTAATATTAGAATGTGTGAGCAACATTAATCTTTTGGACCACCTCATGCCTTGTTCATTCTTCACAACAGATCGAGGTAGGTGCGAAATAAACCACCTATCCAAAAGAGGAGTGCAACACATAAGGGTCCCCCTTCTCTTTATAGTGCGAGAGTGAAGAGAATGCAAGATGTCCCCAAGAAAAGTAAGCACCGGATTGCGAGATATAAATTTTTTTACTGCGTTCACATCTATAAGTTGGTCAGGACTGGGAAATAGTACCATCCCATAGATGAGAAGAGCTAATACTTCTTCAAAGGCTTGTAAATCCAAATCATCCCACCAATCTTGAGCCTTTTCCAACAAAAACTTGTCTAAGAATCCTTTGACACCACTTCTTGTTTCCCAATTTGCCACAACATCAGATCGTTGCAAATGTAGAGCTTGAGCAATCTCCTCAGGTCTTGGGTATCTTTAAATACCGTTGAAAGGTAATTGATCAAGAATAGGAATTCCTAATATTTGAGAGAATTCTTCCATAATAGGCACAAGATGGTAATCAGGAAAGGTAAAGCAATGGTGTAAAGGGTCGAATAACTGAAAGAGAAACTTCATCATGTCTTCATCAAGGCTTGAGGTAACCAGATTGAGAAGTCGACCATGTCTCTTGGTGAACAGAGAATTATCATGGATTCTTGATGCTAATTCTATGAGTTGAGGAGGCACTCTCACGGGGTTGACTTGGATAGCATTCCTGCGAGTGGAAGTCATGTCCTACAAAATAAAACAAAAATAAATATCTAGGTCCTTGAAATGGTTAGTGTAAAATGCCATGGTATGATGTCATGATGTTATGTATAAGTAAACATAAACATACAAAGCAAACAAGTCCTTAGGTTTAGGCTTGCATGGAGTTCATAGGTAAGTACCCTCTTGAAGTTTAGTTGGTTCAACCTATCCTAGAAAGTAATCGGGTTCTAGGGAATCTCAATATCACTGATCTTTCTTCATCGGGCATTGTTTAAGCACAAACCTCTTTATTGTCGACTGAAATATCCCGAAAGTCCAATCTTAATGAGCATAGTATCGAGTATCAACCAACTTTGGACTGTGCCAAAGCCGGATATCTCTCTACTTCCTAATGGCCAAGTTGTTCAATTAAAGGTTCTAAGGTCAGTTAGTACTTCATGACACCACACAGCGGCCACGTATTCTCCTTGACTAAACTCAAGGGCTACCGATACCAACAAATGTGCCACACAAACGTATCCATCACTTCAACCATGTCGATATACCCCGCACAATTTCCATAATCTATTTCTACTTACCTAATGGTGTTCTCCGATCATGGTAGAGGATCAAAACAAGCCCAAACAAACACCCAAAATGTAAAGAAAACAAATCACATAATACAAGCAATTAAATGTGATCTAGCTCTAAGGTAACCCCACTTTTTTTCAATCGTCCCCAGTAAAGTCTCTCATTCTGTAATACAGTGAGAGAACTGACTTGGGTGTTTTACGTTTGATCGCAATTGTTGTGGATAGCAAGAGTCTCCATCAATGTTTCTTTTATCCAATAAGGAAAGGGTGAAAATAATAGGAAAGACCTTTGAGATATTTTCTTGAGTTCGGGGGGTAGGTTATGAAAAGGGAAGGTGTTAGTACCCTTTTCATCAGTAGTTATCTACAGGCTCTTAGTTGCTTGCTAGATCACTTGAAAATGCTTTATTCATCAAAAGGTCTTTGTTCTTTTCCTCCTCATTTAGATGTTGATATCTTACCATTGATTTGGTAAGAAGTCCCATCATTGGATGTGAAGGGACATGTGCGGGTCATTCGTACAGTCATAGAAGGCAACTTGTGAGATGCTTTAGCAATTTTCGTAAGGGACTAGATTGTTTTACCGAAGGAAAAATTGAGGGACATCGAGGGACTACAATCTTTTTATCAAAGGTATTTTCTAAAGCGTCCCATATTCGAGGGACATGACTATGTTTCTAAGGCAACAAGTGAGGTTACCCTAGAGGTGTGTGTGTGTGAAAAGTGAGTTTGATTCAAGTTAATTTGTCTTTGATTAGGGTTGTCTAGTGATTGATTTTAATCTTGCCATACACATCTAATTACTATACAGTATAAAGAAAAACAGTAAATTGCGGAAATTAAAATTCTACGCTATTACAAAGCTTTCGGGAATGGGGGATACAAATTTACAAATGGGGATGGATCGAATCAATAATGTGATAAAAAAGTCTAAATAAATAATCAATGCAACCAGATTGAATTGAATAATTAATTAAAACTACAACAATATATGAAGTAAAAATAATTAACAAAGTATGAGAACAAAAAATCTAGAGGATAAAATAACTTATTACAAATAAATTTTATCGAATGTATATAAATTTTCGGTATTTTATTTGGTGAGAATATTTTGAAAAGAAAATGAAGATCTATTCTATATTTTTTTTGAATTTTTATCATGTAGAAACTAAATAATTTAAAATAAAGTTAACCAAACGATAAAATGTTAATTAATAAAATTATTCACAAATTTTTCCTAAATTAAATTTAGAACTAAGCTAATTAAGAAAATTATCTAACAAAACTACATGATTTATTAAATTAGTAAAACAAATAAAGTCAAACTAATTATTAAAACAAAACAAAGTAGAAGGGTGGTGTTAAACTGAATATGGGGGTATGAGGACGACAAACTGGGCCTGGGGTAAGGTATAATTGTTTCATCCAATCCAAGAAAATGAAATAAAACAGAAAAATAGAAAGAAAAAAAAGTAGGAAAACGTCTCCCACGGGTGTCGAACCGGGACTCCCTGTCTGTTAGTGATATGTTCTGCCATTTGAGTTGTGTACTTATTTGTTATAATAATGATTTTATTTGAACAAAAGGGAAAATATTAGCGGATATTGGGCCAACAGCCCAATGGGCTGACCCGGATGGAAGAGGAAAAGAAAATTGTAACCCTAAAACACTAAAGGAGGCGCCGCTAGCTGGAGTTTATGTGGAAGAGAAAATCAGCTTAATTATTATTAGTTCCAATGACTTTTCTTTTTTCAATATTTACCATAAAAGATTAAAAAAACTTCCTCTCTTTATAAATCTATTCACCACCATCTCCCTCTTTTGTTTTCTTCCCCTCATCATCTGTCCTTGTAGCTTCCGCAGACTTCTCCGTGGAACTTTCCTCCGCCTTCTCTTCCTGCTCTTATTGCTTTGTCCAGTGCTAACTTTGTTCTCAATATACAACATCACCATCAAGATTTCCACAGTTCACATAAAACCCAATAAGAGCATTCTCAACATTCAGTTCAATCTCCAACCCAACCTTAACAACAAAAGAAAACACAGTGTTCCAAGACACAATATCCCTTTGACCCATTTCATCAAACACCTTGAACGCAGATTGATAAAACCCATATTTCAAATAAAACAAAATGATCGTGTTTGAAACAAAAACTGAATTCAAATACTCTATTTTAATAACCGCAACATGTAATTGGAGACCGAATTAGAGGTACAAGATTCGAGTGCAAGCGGTTAAAACAGAAACATAATTATAGCCATTTGGGATAAGTGATGAAGTGGTTATCATGTGAAGGAAGAGGAAAATGGCTTGGTGTTCGCGGTTGGATGGGAGTAGTAAGTGGCGGCGCCACAGAAGAGAAGGAGGGCAGTGTAGCCCAGGTATTTACGGGTTTCAACATCGATGTTGGGTTCCGGTAAAGATGAGAATCGACGGAGAAATGGATTTGGAGGTAGTATTTGGAGAAGTTGAGAATGTGAATAAGTTGAAGAGTGGTAGTGGTGATGGTGGATGCAAAGGGAATGTTTGAGAAGGAAATGTCTCAACATGTCTAAGCTGGGAAGTGGAGTGGTAGAAGTAGAAAGGAGTTTGGGAGAAGGGAGTTTGGATAGGATGATTATTCATTTCCAATGGAGTTTACAAATTTCTTGGGTTGACAGATTATGCTCTTACTCCACTGATTGTAAGTAAATCAAGATCTAAATTTGAGGCAGGGTGCACAATGACTTGATTTGAATGTAATCCATGTGCTGAATTTGGGTGTGGTTGTTGTCTGTGGCGAATGAAGGTTGTACCAACTCCTTCTGTTTTAGTTTTAATATTGTTGTTGTATCATACTTTCATGGGATTTGTGTATTGCGATATTAAGGAGTTTCAGTGATTTTTGCAGGTGAAGTTTCAACATGTGAAGGATAATGATAATGTAAGAGAACTGTGCTATGAAGTTATTGATTTTATTTGGACAGATTTAGATCATGATTATCAAAGGATGGTGGGGTTGTGTTTTCTATTTTGTTTTAAATTGATTTTGTCATCAGTCCCCATTACATTGAGGTATTTGTCCCTTTCCTTCAGCCGCGCAGAAAAAATTAACAGCTTGCTTGCAAATTTCAAAAGGGAATGGTGATTGGGAAATACTATGGAAAAAACCGATGTGATAGTTCAAATCGATTGTTGTTGCCTCCAACCATTATTTTCTCTCTAATGTAGTTAAAAGCAGTAAGTAGATCATGCTCTGAATAACACCGAAGAATGTATGATGAATTTAGTGCCTGCAGACTGGTAGCGGAAGTGCTGGAATATGGTGTTCGGCGGAAGCAGGGAGGGAGTATTTGAGCAGAGAAAACTAAAGGTGTTTTTTATCTTTGAATTTATGGGTTATTACTGTGTATTTCTGTAGGCCGTTTCTATTTGAATTATTATGCTTATAATATTTCTACATATTGATACATTGTAGCAATTCAAAAATAAAAATGCAGCAAAGAAGGTATGATAAAGCAAGCATCACAATTTGTTTATGAGATATGATGAACGAAGAAGAGGAACCAGAAACATACCTATCGGAGTTCGTCCGATGCGACTTTGACAGCGACTTATGAAACCAAGTATGCTTATTTCTCTTCTTCTATCTGAATTATTCTTCTTCTTCTACCTTTGTTTGTTGCTTCAATATGGAGAGTTTGAGTTGAGGTTGTGAATGGGTTTTTGGGATAAAGGGTGTATGAAAACAATGGTTTTTTATGAAACAGTAGCCTCTTTTCAGTTTTTATTTTTCTGTCTTTTTTCATACAGGGCTGCCATGTTTTATATACAACAGTAGTGGGTTTAGGGGGAAAAATTAATGAGTTTTTGAACAATTTTGGCTACTGTTTTATTGCTTTCTGGTGCAGATTTTGTTTTGCTGATTTTTTATGTAATACTTGACTGCTTGTGGACAGGTTTTTTGGACTGTATTGACAGGGTTTTGGAATGATTTTCTTGGCATTACTATGTAGGTTTTGGGAAAGCAACAGGGCTATTGTTTTGCAGCAAGGTTGGACTGTTTTTTGCTGTAATTTTTGTGGTTGTTCTGATGTATTTTCACAACACTTTTGGGACTGTTTTGTAGGCTGAAACAATGTTGGAAAATGGGCTGTAGGCAGCATGATATTTGGCTGGAATTTTAGAACATGGGAAATAATAGTTTGTACAAACTTGTAATTCCCTTTGTAGCTACGTAATAATAATTCCAATAAATTTGTAACATGAATGGAACTTGTCTTGAATATATTTCCTCAATTCTTTTGGAATTGTAAACATCTTGAGTCCTTATATGAAACTTTGAATCTTGATATGTCTTGATGAAATTCAAAGTCCTCCAATGGAATTTGGAAAAGAATTGATTGATATTTGAATGAATTGAATCATTAAATTTATGGACGAGATTTGAATTCAAGTGTATGATTAAATACTTTCTCATGAAGGAACTTGAATTCATGATAAATCTTGTGAATATGAATGGATATTTGTATGAATGCAAATGGAAATTACTTGAAACTTTGAATACTCTTGTAATGATACATTCTCCAATAATATCTTTCTCTTTCCATTTTCATTTTGAATTTTACTTAGCCTTTCCATGTTCAAATCCATAATCATGACTTTGATCATATTCTCATTATCCACCATTTGAATTCTTTGAATTAGAATTGAAACTTGAATGATATTTAAATCTTAAATTCTGATAAAATCCTTTGGACAAAATTTAAACTTAAACTGACACTTGAATGAATACTTTTAAATCAACTCCAACCCAATGAACCCTTAACTCAAATCCAAGTTAATTTGCACTACGAGCAATGAACACTCCTTGAACGATGTGTAAAAATAACCGTCTCAAGATCTTGAAAATTGAGGAAATTACGATTCTTGGAAGTCAGACAATAATAACTTGAGATTAGGTCAAAAATCCAGAAAGTGACCTCTAAAATATTTGAATTTTTTATGATCTTTCACACACAATCGGCTCTTGACTTGTAAAGAGAAATTGAAGATGACGTCAAGGAGAGTCATACGCAAAAGAACCACTCAAAAATATCGATTAATGAAGAAGTTACAATCGTTTGAACTTGATCTCGCAAAGGTCGTTTTTTGGGTCAATGCAGTCATTTTCAGTCATCTGAACCAATGACTGAGCAAACTTATGATGCAAAGTTTGAAAATTGATGCGAACATCCTTGAGAACACATGAAGAAATATAAATACCATTTGAAACCTTGAAGACTCAATTTTGTTTGAGAAATACAAAACCCTAGTTACTGACTCAATGCCTAGGAAGAGAATCTGTATGATCAAACCCTAAGCCATTTTGAGTATTTGAGAAACCCTAGGATAGCATCTTAAATGAAAAATGGGAGGGAAAATTTTAGGGTACAATAGGTAGGTTATGAAAAGGTAAGGTGTTATCACCCTTTTCATCTGTAGTTATCTACGATCTCTTAATCTCTAGCTCACTTTGTTTGAAAATGCTTCGTGTTCGTGTGTTTTGAAAATATTGTTAAAAATGCCTAAGTATTGCAACTTTGTAATGATTCTTGTAGAAGTTAAGAACGTATACAAATTTTTTGTTTTTGAAAATATTTCAGAGAAAGTGTTTTTGTGTGAGAAAGATGTTTGTTTTGTTTTAATGAGCAAGTGATTAAGAACTATCTACCTACTCAAAGTCTTTCATGTTATTTTCCTCCTCCATAGATAGTGTTGTCCTACCATTAGTTAGTAGGAAGCCCTATCGTTGCATGTGAGGGGACAGGCGAGGGTCATCGTACACTCATAAAGGCAACTTGTAGGGGCGCTTTAGTAATTTATCATAAGGGACTAAGATTGTTTATCGAAGGCAGCATCGTAAGGGTCATCGAGGGACTACGGTCTTTTTAACCGAGGGTCTTTGCCAAAGCGTCCCCACGTTCGAGGGACATGACTATTTTTATTTGAAGGTAACAAGTGCGTCACCCTAGAGGTGAGTGTGTGGAAAGTGATCCAATTCGATTATTTTGTCTTGTATTTAGGGTTAGCTATATTTATTTTTATGTCTTTTCATATATGCCTAGTTACTATACAGTAATAAGGAAAATGATAAATTGTGGAAAGTAAAAGTCGTATGCTATTACAAAGCTTCGAGGAAGGGGATACAAAACCATAAAATCGGGAAAAAAAATAGTAAATCCTAATTAAAATTGTTACAAACTGCAGCAGTTACATAATTGGGAAAAACTAATGCGAAAGTAAATACGCGAAGATTGTAAAAGAGAAAAAAAGAAAAATGAAAATCGTCTTGTGGTCGTTTGATAATTAATATAAAAAACCTAATTAGTTTTAATTAAAAAAAGAAGTTAATTAGTTAACTAAATTAAACAAAACCTTAAAAAATCTATGTTTACCGGAGAGGTGTCAGAGCCCTAGCTCCGGTCGTATTCTCCGGCAACCTGTATTGTTTAAAACCTGCAAATTCAAAGCATTAGTGGTCCAAAATGTCCTACCCCCCCCCCCCCCCCCCCCCCCTAATTCGACCCTCCTGAATCCAAATATGGGCTTATTTTTGGCTATAAGTCCTTGTATATTGAGTTATAAAGAAAGTAAATCAAATAAGAGCAAACATGGTAATTTGCAATTTAGCATGCATGAGACCTCCGCGATTGTTATATCCTGCATTATTGAATCTCATGAACACATAGCAAACATTAGTAAGCGTTAGAATGCAGTAAAAACAAGAAATACAAAATTTTAAACATGGATGAAATCGTGATGTTTGTAATGTGATTTCACGCGCTTTGGACCATCAAATTTGGTCCAAAGTTACTCTATATGCTTGCTAGAAGAGAATGGAATGTAAGCTTTGTGGTGAAAGCGCTTGAAAATAGGGTTTGAAAACTTTAGGGTTCTTGATAAAAGTTTGATATTTTTGGAAAAATTGTGAGTCAAGGATTCATGTGTAAGGTTTTTTGTCTTGATGTTTGAATATATATATAGAAAATTAGGGCAAAAACAAATGGACTTGGACCTTGTGTAATAAGATATGATTTTATCTTATTTAATTTGTATTATTAATGAATTAAAAAAAAAAAAATAAAAATAAAAATAAAAAGGATCAATGGGTGTGATAATAAGGTTTGAGGTGTACGAAGAGTATAATACATGTTTGGACTCTTAAACCATGGCCTAATAGCTTAAAACATCAGGCTTGCTCATTTTGAACTTCATGCATTTGCTCAAAATTTCCTAAATTGCAATGGTCATAAATCACTCAATTTTTATATTTTGAAGGTGATCTTGGACTTTTTGAAAAGCTAAATATGTCCTCTACAACCTCTATATTGATCATTTTTGCTTTTTCATAATTTATCGTGATGTAAGTTGCCTTAAAAAATGACCTATAATGTATTGGCTTATATATCTCAAATGATGCATTTTTTGGACTTGAGCTTAGAGAGACAAATTTTTAGAGAATTTAATCCCCTTCAAGATGGGCTTTTGTTGGGGGAGAGCAATGAAGCA